TGTTGAATTAAAACAACAACGAAAAACTTCCGTGTAGCGTCTTTCTGTCTAATTACCTTATGTTATGGCCATACAAGCGCTGTGCGCTGGAGACCTGCATGTGGCTGCTGCGCCGCGGCTTGTATTTGAGTGCGGCGTGTGTGTGTGTAGAAAACCGTTTATTTATTTATTTTTTTGGTTGGTGCGGCTTATATTGAGGTGCGCTCTATAGTCCGGAAATTACGGTAAAACTCAAACACTGATGTCAACGTAAAAACAGAAATCTGACATATTCTGTACTTGAATCATGATCATTTAAAGTCTATTAAAAACATTTTGAATTGAAAAATCATTGGGATGAGCTGAAGGTCGCAACTCTGTGGTGCTCACTGAAGAGAAACTGAATGAACACAGTGACTGACAGATAAGGATGATTTCTTACAGCTAAATAATGTTCATCAAAAAAAATCACCTTTGTTTCACATTTTCAGGCGTGTACTTAATTACATAAATAGTAAGATTCTGTAGCTGAAAGCAAATTAAACATTAAATTGTGAATCTTGCTTCTACCATTTTCTCCAGACACAGGACAACCTGGTTCAGTGTTGTTTCTGTGAGTTTTAAATCTACAGGTTGTATTTTAGGGGTACTTTTGAGTGATGCAGTTTTAGATTGTGAAGGTTAAAACAGACAAATATGTAGACCTGGGACGATAACAAATTTTGCTGGACGATATATTGTCCATTAAATTATTGACGATAAACAATGTTATTGTCTACATTACCAAGACCAAAATAACCACTTATGTAATGTTAATATTTCATAATGATGCAAGTGAACCCTTTAAAATAAAACAATTATGGCTGGAAAAATTACTGAGTTCATTTTCATTTATCGTACAATTAATTGATTTATTGATTATTGTCCCAGCCCTACAAATATGTAAATATTTCCCCTTTTATCTATGTGGAAAAAAAACTGCTTATGACAAATTTGTGAAAGTCACACCTATAAACTACCAACTAAAGGACTATGTGTTCAAGTTCAGATCTTTTAAAGCCAGTTTCTTTGGAAAGGTAATGAACAACTAACATTTTACACATTGCTGACAGCTCTTTGTATGATCTTAGAGAAACTGAGATGAATTCTGATTGGACTGACAACCTAATGGTTAATCCAAGGGGGGTCAGAAACAAAATTGATTGCTACAGTTCTAATACAGCTGCAACTACCTGCAGATAACCAAAAACGTCTGAGAACAATTTGTAAGAACTAATCAGAGCTAAACTCTTCTTCTCCAAACTGAGGTCATTCAAAGACCCACTTTTCAAATCAAAACATACCTGTTAAGACAAGCGTGTTCCTCCTAGCATCACTTTAACTATTTTAATGTTTTAACATTTCTACTTCAAATGTTACATGTTGTGTTTGGTTTATTTTACATTCCTTGTCGTAAAGTGTGTTTGGGTGTTTTGAAATGGACTTTTCAAATACAATGTATTACTAATATTAGTATTAACAACAACAACAACAACAACAGGCAAGATGTAATTGCTCACGATCTTTCCACATAAACCTATGTCACACAGCAGGAATGCAGTGTCAGACAAACAAAAACTATCTGTATTCAAACTTATGAATGTAACAATAAAATAACCGGAGCATTTTTTTTTTCTTGAGTAGGCTTAATGGAGGACCATGCTTTGCTGAATATCTAAATCTCTGTAGTCGATCTGTTTCAATGTCAGTTTTTTTTTAGATAACTTGTGTAACGTCTTTGGTTATCTGCAAGTACAAATAGCAGCAGCAACTAGCCATTTCATTTATAATGCAGTTTGATGAATCTCCAGCTGGAATAATGTAACAGTCTAGCTGTGACAACACTGTAATGTAAATAACCTGCAACCAGCTCATTGGCCTAGTCGTAGGGAGTGTCTGCCTCGAGACTGGGAGATCGTGGGTTTGAATCCATGGTCATATCATACCAAAGACTCTTAAATTCCTCCCCGCTTGACACTCAGCATTAAGGGGTTGGATTGGAGGGGTTAAACCACCAAATGGTTCCTGAGCGCGACCGTGTCTGCAGCTCACCGCTCCCCCAGGGGACGGGTCAAATGCAGAGAACAAATTTCACCAGTGTGACAACTAGCGGGACTTTAATGTTCAACTTTTCGATCCATCAACTGAAATATCGCTGAGACAGACCAACATTATACTTCTGGTTCTGTAACCAGCTTCTTCTAACTACGGAATCAATAATCAGACGCCATGCTTTCACTGTGCCAAGGGATCTTACTGTCACAGTTATCGTCATAAAAACCCAGAAAGTGTGTTTAACTCAGAAACTCGAGGACTAAAATAGCCCTTCTTCTGTGTCCCAGCTGCCTTGGCAACTTCACAGTCTGTCTAGATGAGATGATGTAACAAACTGTGATTTCTTCTTTTTTTTTGGCATAAGTAGAGCAAGTCTCTCTGCCATATGTTAAGAATAAGAACAATTATACTTTATTGCATGTGTGTGTGTGTGTGTGTGTGTGTG